AATAGTAAAATATAACTATAGAAAAATATATAATAATATAATATTTAAATACGTTATACATTTGAGATTTTTAGATGGACTGTATATTGTGTTTCACCCTATTAAGTTAAAGTTAATTAAGTTAAAGACTGCACTATTGTCAATAAATACCCCAGATGCCTTTTACAGAGGAGATGATGAAAACAGCTACTGGAGAAATGTATAGCCGGAAATTGAGAGAGAGACGCCAGAATGACTCACTAACCTCGCACAATCTGTCTTCTTTATCCAAGTCTTCCTTCCTGCTTCGTTCTCTTCAACTTTCCTCTCCTAGAATCTGCAGGTCACCTTAGAGGGTCGAAAGGAAAAAAAAGTTTTACTTTTTTAGTTTTAGTTTTACATTCAAACTAAAGCAGCTACATCCGCCCAAGAAGCCTTGGGGCGTGAAAAAAGTGCCTCAGGCCAGTCATATGGGAAGTCAAATCATTCTGTTCAGGTTGTGTTCATTGAGTCATTCTCTCATAGCTCATTACTGCACTAAACACTTGACTTATAATCAGTGAAGTGGTCCTAAATTTCTTCTGCTTGGTTGTGATTTTTTGAGTTTGAATTTTATTGCATTAGAAAGTAACTAAAATAAGCAAGTAATTTAGTAAGCACTGAAATATGTTTTGTTGTCAGATAAAATGTAAAAAATAGTATAGTAGCAAAGGTTATAGTGAAACCAAAGCCAAGGGTGAAGTATGTTTATACAGAGCCCCGTTTATGTACAGAACCACAGGAAGCCTAAGGTATTGCCACTTCCTGTCTCTTGCAAGAAGCCCATCTTATACCATGACCGTTTAATATTTAAAATGCTTCTACAGAGTCAAGGTGTGATGAACACAAATTCAATGTGAATTGCCATTGCAACTCATTTTACTTCAATGATGGGAATTATTTATGAGTGAAACAGGAAATAAATGGAGGGCACATTATTTTATTCATCAGGACTTGATTAAATCATGAAAAGTGGGTGTTAAAATACCAGAATGGAGTGAGAGTGATGTCTACAGAGCTTTTTATTGTATTTTGAGATTATAAAGATAATAAAGAAAACTTTTTTTTTTTTTCAGTAACAAGCTCTGATGAATCATTCACAATAAGAAGATTGAAGAAAGAAACTTGGCCCTTTAGAACTGAATGTTACATTCCATTTGACCCGAAACTGTATGGCTGTTCCTTAAATGTTGAGTGTCACATTTGTCTGAAGTTTCCAGAGGAGGATGAGCTCCTCCAGTTGAGCCTGGTTCCTCCCAAGATTATTCTCCCTCTTCACATAAACATCTTTATTGAGCTTTTCTTTGCTACTATCACTTTGACTTGCTTCCCAAGGACATTAAGGCAATAAAC